ACAATTTTTGTTGTTAATATCATTACCGCATAAGAATGGGACTGACATATAGGCGCTGGGATATGATATTACTCTCAATTGTTTTGGCCGCACAGGGGGTCTCACCTCTCCTTAACTGTTCCCACACTGAAAGGCCTTAATTCCACTATTTATGGCATATATAACAGTCTTTTTATTAATTTCTTGAGATCTGTTCTGAATTACTATTAATTATTATTATTATATTCAGTAATAAATTGTATATATTTAAAAATAGTGAATGTAATTTTGATTTGTCATATGATATGAAAGAATTTTCAATTCCTATCCGTTAAATGCTATTTATAACCGCAGTTATGGTGAGGACTATATATGAGTCCAATATCTTTACAAACAATGCTTTTTTTCTTCTAATACAATGTTTGCCATTTCTTCGGAATTGTTTGCCTTAATATTTGTGTTACATTTATTGCATTGCTTTTTATACTGAAAGTCATTCACTTATACTTAATAGACGTTATTATGATATATACAATGATATTAAATAATAAGTTATTATATTTTCCAGTTATAATAGACAGTCCTTTCCTCTAGGAATCACAGATTGGTTTTTCTAAATGACAGACATTTCATTATAAATATGACAATTAAAATTGTTTTTGTTTTCACGTAAAGTGTTGTTTACAATGTCTTTGGACTCACTTTTAAATAGTATTTCATTAAAATTCCAGAGAAGAGGAATTAATGATTTCACACGAAATGCTAATTATATATACAAAAGATTTGAAATATCAGTAAAACGCCAAAACATTGAAAACATGAATTTTTAGATTTTAAATTTCTATATTTATTTTGAAGTTCACTACACTTTTCACATAAAATATATTTATTTGTTTATTAGTGAAAATTGTTTGTTTATTAATGCGAAAACATATGCTTTATCTATGAAGTAAATTTCAAATTTATAATGATTTTTAATTAATCCCTGAATTGAAGTGCATTGCCTTTTAATACATCTTTTTATACACAACTTGTGCACAGAATTTAAGGCATTTTATTCTACAGACAGAGAATTATTCTTAAAACAAAATTATTTTTAAAACCTTTTTATTAAAAAGTTTGAATTGATTTATATTATTAATTACATAATTGTGTTTTGATTTTAAACATTTCCATACTTTTGCATAATATTTTGAATTTTTAAATTTATTTGAAAATAACAATTAATATATTGTATATTTTTAGGTGAACATAGTTGTGGGCACCGGTCAAGGGGTACGACTGTTCCCCCAACGGGTATACGAAGTATCAGTGATGGAGAATCAATTGACTCCACTTCAGTTGATTGACTTGAACTCGACCGACGAGATCGCACACAGGACTTCACATTACAGTATTGTGGGCACCGATTATAGGGGTCAGTCACTCCATGCCATACATTAATCCCATATATTCTTTGGCATACAATTAGTATTGACTTGAACTCGACCGACGAGATCGCACACAGGACTTCACATTACAGTATTGTGGGCACCGATTATAGGGGTCAGTCACTCCATGCCATACATTAATCCCATATATTCTTTGGCATACAATTAGTCCAAACCATTCTTCTCTATCCATTGAATACCACTTTTAGTAGTCTTTTTGTGTCTATTGAGATATCCATACAATATATCCAAAAAGAAATCAATGAAATGAGACAAAAGTATTCACAATATTACAACAAAACATAATAATATACACTCTATTACATAATATACTATGCATTTCTTTGGCAATGGATTGCTTATAATTCAAAGTATTAGTGCTTTTGGTTTTATTTGGGAATCAAATAATGCATTCATTCATAAAGTAAATTCCTTTTCATGGATACCACCAAAAATTCCTAATAAATGATACCAAAAAAATTGATTTTCTTTTATACCATAGCATGAATTGAATGAAAATAATTCAAAAGTTAATTTCACTAATATTGGTATCGCAATGGATTATAATTAAAAATGATTTCATTCATTCATATACAATGTAATAGGAATAAATTCCCTTTTGTTTAGCAACTATTATATGCTATTTACTTTACATTTCCTTTAATTAAATATTTATTTAATTTTAATTTAAAATTAAATTATAATAAAAAAAAGTGTAAGGTCTATTTTAAACGAATTACTTTTATATTAGGGTTATTTAAAATCGGTGCCGAAACGGGACGTCTTGTCGTTACCCGAAGTCTGGATCGGGAGAAGAAAGATGTCTATAATTTAAAAATTAGATCCGAAAATCTGATACACCATAGGGTGGGTCGGGATGTGAGCAGTCACTCATCTGATTCCAACTATCACTTGGCATTTGATGAGACACTAGTGGTGGTCAACGTTCACGACGAGAACGACAATCCACCCGTCTTTGAGAATAAGGGCCGACCAATTGTGGCCGCCGTTCCTCTTGAAGCCGCGTTTGGCTATCAAGTCGTTAAATTAACTGTTCGTATAAATTGGTTAAAATTTTGATGGAAAAAAATCTAAAATTTGGTTTATATCAGGCAAAAGATGCCGACATAGGAATTAATGGTGCGATTCGTTACGAAATCCTAGCCCGCGGTGACGACGCGTCAGCCAAGTTCCACATCGACCCCGTGTCGGGTGTCGTCAGATCTATGGTAACCTTTACTATGGATGGCGGAAAGCTCTATGGCTTTGACGTAAAAGCCACTGACAGAGAGGGCAGCGAAACTGGCAATTCTGCCGTCACTAACATATTTGTAAGCTTTTATAAAATATTAAACAATTTGTTGACATAAACTCAAGAAACTGTATTTATATTAAGATTTTAAAGTGTTTTCTAGTGTAACAATAGATTCTCTAAGCTTTAGATAAGATTAAAACACATTTCATATACAATATATTACAATAGAATTCTGTTGTTGTGAATACATTATAAAATTTGTTTTTAAATATTTTACAGATCTATGTATTGCCCGAAACAAAGATGATTTTATTCGTGGCCGACAAAGAACCCATTCATGTCGAGAAGAAGTCGCCAGAAATTTTGAATTATTTAACAAACATAACGGGCTTTGAAGTAAAAATGGCAAAACTGGGTCCGCATACGGAGGGAGAGCTTCAAGAGCCTCACGCGACAGACATATTTTTATATGCCGTCAATCCTGAGACTAATGATATCGTAGACACTGAGACACTATTAGAGTAAGCGGTTCTCATTCACAAACCAAAAACAATTCATTAATTTTCTATTAAATGTTTTCTAATTTTTTGTTTTCCATGTTTTTCTGTGCCTTCAAATGATAGTGTTTTCCGTCAAAACTCGCAATCAATTGTAGATAACTTAAGGAATTATAAGATACGGCGAATCCAAGGGGTGACCGTTCAGGAGAAAATCAGTCAAATGGGCGCCACAGAGATCGCAATCATAGCCCTCTCATCAGTCATATTCTTGGGCACAGTTCTGGCCATTGCTCTCCTCTGCTCCTCTTGTAAAGAAAGGTTGGCTACAAAAAAACGCATATTTTTAGCATTTTATTCATTAATTAATGCCTAAACAATATTCATAAATGTCTTTTACGTGCGATATTATTAGCGATGGAAGAGAACGTTGATCTTCATAGAGATATACATAATGCATGAAATAAGTCAATATCTGTTTGTAGCGCTTCACCAGTATTGACAGCACATAACAAAAGACCGTTCATTAATCAAATTCACTGTTAATATCCTGATATACAGAATACATATTCTTTTAACTCTCGTTCATTTTAAACATCAAATTAAAATAATGCATGTTTTCTATCGTACAGAATATTCTCATATATTTAACTGAATTCATACTTTTTTGGGTTTGATTTTTGATAATCTAATGAACAGATGACATATCTTTTTTACAACATATTCTGTCATATATTCTCAGCACTATATTCTGTACAGACCTTTGTATAAAATCAATTTTGTTAACTCTTTGTGCAAATAGTCTGTTGGATGTATTTTATTTATATTTATGATCTTTCATTTTATTTTTAAACATGTCATGATTTGATATTGAAAAGTTTGTCAATATTGATTTAATCAATTCAGTTTTTATATATCTAAAATATTTATGTGTATAAAACTGAAAAAAGTTTATTCAAATACAAATGGTTTAATGCAATGGTTTTATTAAATCATTAGAAAATTACGTCAAAGACAGAGCTCTTGGGAACAGCAAAGGCTCTACAGCACTAAAAATCCATTAATGGGCAAAACATTAGGCAATCCGTACGGCAATCGAGGGGTTCCGGTGGGCAACGGCCACACGAGCTCCACCTATTCCACGGGTGATTGTGTGGGGTATGTGTTCGCTAACTGAACATGCTTAATTGATTGCATTTTAATAAACTATTTCTGTGAACAGAGACTACGGGGACAGTTTGGCCTCATATAAGCGGAACAGTACCCGACCGGGCAGTCGCTCGAATGTGATGAACAAATCCCGACAACAGGTTCCTCCCGACGGCGCCTCTTCGCTCAATCCTCCCCGAAGTCCGCGATTCTCCGATCGATACAAACAAAGTCGAGAGAATCTGAGTGGAGGTGTGGGTGCCGTCACCACAATCGCCGACTCATCGCACGACTGGTACGATCCCAAAGACGCCGTCGGCTCTGTGTAAGTGTTCGCTTCAAATGCATTGTTTCGCGTCATTACAATTGAATGACAATTGGATTGTCTTTTAACACTCATCTCTCATGTAATGTAATAATAGTGAGAGACCGGAGACGAGTGAGTGGGAGAGTGAGTGATGTAGAGAGAGAGAGAGAGAGAGAGAGAGAGAGAGAGAGAGAGAAGTGTTGATGACTGCGTGGCTGTTATAATGATAAGTGAAATGTAGTGAACAGAACATAACCTAAACTATCGAATCATAGAATTCCTTAAATAAATGGTTTTCTCTTATATTTTTCATTTTAAATAAATATTTTCGTTTAAGTTTTCGTTAATATTTTGAAATACAGTTTTTTTTGACTCTAAACGTTGTTTTTTAATTTGGATTCTCATTCCATCCGAAATAGTGTTGAGTTTTAATTACATTCATTTCCATCCTTTAATTAAAGTATTTATTTATCTTTAAGCCAACGCTTAAAATATCTCAAAGAATAAATTTTTCATTGAATAAAATCTTTAATAAATTTTTACATTAGAAAAGACGAGTCTTAATAGTAAATAATGTTAATTTAATTTTACATAGTATTTAATTTAATAGCAATATAATTACATGTACATATTTTTGACAAATGTCAATATAGAAACCAGACTAGAATTATTCAAATATGATAATTATGTTTATATCTTTATAAATTGACCTTTTATTAAATTTGTGTTTCTATGTTTACAAGCCATAATGCATATGGTAAAACTTTGCAATTAATTTATTTGCAATTAAGTTTCATTTAATATGAAATAAATTATTTTATTAGCGAACTATTCGTTGAATTGATTTATTTAATGATAAGTGCACTGAAATATTCAATTTATTTCTCCAAAAGTATTACGATTTGATCAAAGAATCTTATAATAAAAGCAAATGTGTGTAGGCTTTCAGCAAATCGATAATTATATGTGTTTTTGTCTATTTATGTTTATTTCACATATATTTTCGGCTCATATTATAGTAGGAATACAGACACAGAATTGCTATCAATTGTTAACCGTATCATTAATTCTGGTATTATTCGCCACAAATGGATGAATGCATATAAAAGTGAATTTTAATATGTATTTTGTATATTTATGTAATGTTATAATTTCGATAAAGGTTAAGAATTTTGCCACAAAACAAAAAACAATTTAGCTTCAAAACATATGCAACAAATTTAATTTATTTATTCTGGTATTAAATAATCTGTAAACTAAATATGTTATGAATTGCGTTGAAATGTTATTTTAATGATTGTTATATCACTGAATAGGGGATCGGGTTTCTCTCGAGGCTCGGGTCGATCGGCGAGATCTGGATATAGCGGCACGAGTTGGTCCTCAAGGAAGTCGAGGAATTCTGAAGAGATCACTCCCGTAGGGGCACAGCTTTAGTCGTGTCATTCAGTTTAATATCGTTTTCGCAGTTGTTTTTTGTTTTATTTTTTTGTTACGACTGAAAGAAGTTTATATGAATTTGTTTTGTATACTGTTTTTATACATCTTAACCAAAGCGCAAAAGGATTTTGTCCACAAAATAACACGACTTTAACTGAACTAAACAAACACTGTTTTGACTGACGATAAAAAGTCAGACAACAATCGAGACCACTGTTGAAGAGTTTCTGTTGTGAATAAAATGAACTATAATTTCATAAATGATGGGAATATAGAGAAATAAAATCCCAACTGTTTTTATACAATGAAGAATCATATTTGAAGTGATGTTTTAATTATGTTTTTATATTAGGGATAATAATAATAATGTATTTTTGTGTATGTGTTGTGATATGTTATGCAAAAGCTATAACTAGTTTCATCTCTACTTACGTTTTTCAATACAAAAATTAATTTATATTCAACTTTATGTTAATTTTTAAATCTCTCGACTCCACTGTTTTGAGTGCTTTTGCATTTGTATCGATCGCATCACCAAAAATGTCATCCAAAAACCACTATTCATTCAAATTAAAACATCATATTTTGGAAATTAATGTTTAAATTTATTGTACATTTTATTTTTTAATATCAATGACTCTCCCTTTTTGTAACACATTTTGTTTAAATAAAATAAATATATTGTTATTTTATTACATAATTTTTTGGTACAATTTATTGCTTTAAAAGTCACTCGTTTTATATTAAAATTTTGAAATTTTCCAATTAATTATAATTTTAATATTAAGCAATGCGTTAAGAAAAGTAACATTTACTAAAAGTTATCTATTGATATAAATGATGCTATTTTTAATATTTTAATGAAAATTTTTAAGAATAATTATATCTATATAAATATATTATGAAATCGCGAACAAATGTAAGGAATTTCACATAAAATACATTAGTTTAGATTTCCTATAGTCTATAGAATTTTATTTATTATATATTATATGATTAGAAATGATAAATGAGTTCTCAGTTAAAGATAACGTATAAAAACCTTTATTGAGAGGAAGTAATGGAAATGCTTCTCATGTGAATCCTAACCTCTATTAGTGTCTGCTTTGACTATATATTTGTTTTTCTATAGATTAAAGCGAGAGTCGATTCTTCAGATTCTTGTTTAAAAGAAAACATAATATTTGTAAATAAGTGAGAGAAACAAATCTATCATTTCTTTCCTGCAATCATTTCATTTTAAATCAATTCACTTTTATTCGTATAATGTTTTAATTTAAATTCAAATGTAAAAACTTATTATTTATTAATTTTAACGATTGAATATCATTTTGCAATAACAAGTGCCAAAATAAAAGACAGAATATTCATTGAAAATACATTTTCTTATTTGATTATTATTATGATATAAATTATACAGATTCTGGAACAGTATTTGACAAATATTTATTACAAATTTGAATAAAATATTACAATCATTGAACACTTAAATATATTTTGCAAGTAATGTATAGATATTTTAATTTGTTTAACATTTATATTTATCTTGTACTGTATCAATAATATAATTATAAAATAATTATTAAGGATTCTAGCATTTAAAATTTACTTTTTTAAATAAAACTTTTTAGTTCAGGAATTTTACACAATTTTTAAAATAAACTGTATTTTGATATTAAAGAATATTCTGTTTAAAGTTAAATAGTTGTTTAAATTTATTTGTGTAATTTATGGTCCAAGATATTTAATAAACTACTTTTATGATTTGATGCTCATACATTCGTGTTATTCAAACATTTAGTTA